TCTATGTGGCTCCAGTGGCCACCGTACAACTGAGTGTGTTCTCTTTTCTTTTCATGTCTAAACTGGAGCCAAAGCATCTTGTTCCCCGGCTGCACAAGGGGAGCCTAGCTCTCTATTTGTTGAAAATAGAATAGAATAGAATACAATTCAACTTTATTGTCATTGCACATGCACAGGTACAGGGCAACGAAATGCAGTTGGCATCCATCCAGAAGTGCAAAATGACATAACATGCATTAGGATTGACCTGAACTCAATAGGAGTGTTAATGTGGGTTACCAGGAGATTGAACTTTGGAGCTTAGCACCACTGGAACCCTTGAAACCAGCCGCATAGCTTGTTTTATTTAGCGTTTTAATATCAACTCATTAACAGAGAATGGAGGGACTTTAAATTCACCGGTGAGAAAATATTGGGCTATCCTATAGACATACATATACAAAATATCTATAGCACTGTGCAAAAGTCTTGAACCGCTCTTCATTACTTTAATTTCCAAGGAAGCTGGGAACAGGGAAATAGAGTGTATAAGGCATAAGAGGAGTTTGTACAATTTTAATGAGCTTGAAAGTGAATAATTACTATGACCACCTTTATTCTTCAACACAGCCTAAACTCTCTTGGGCAAACTTTTGTCTTGTCATTTCTTTTAAGTAGTCTTCAGGAATAGTTCACCAGGCTTCTTGAAGGATATTCAAAGCTCTTCTTTGGTTGTTGGCTGCTGTCAAGAAATGTGTGATTGAAAGAGAGGACAAGGTCTTAAGATCCAGCATTTTATGTTTACAGAGATACAAAATGCTATGACAGAGTTTATCTGTATTTGCTTTGGCTAATAGTAAATCATCTTTATTCTTAATGATATAATCAAAATATACATCTAATTAAGATGATGAATGTTTGTTCTAATGTCTGGATTTTGTGTGTGTAGACAGCTGTAACCTTGATAGATTAGTGTCTGTGTGTGTCTACAGGAATGTGAAAAGAAATGTCTCCAGCCCATCATTATACATGATTCTGAATAAGAGAAATGGTATGATAGTACAATTTTATGTATGTTTGTCACACTTAAATGTTTCAGATCAAATCAATTTAAATATTAGACAAAGACGAGGCAAGTAAATGCAGTTTCTAAATGGAAAATCGAACCTACAGGTTTAAAGTTTATATTTAAAAAGTGACAAATAATATAAAGAAGAGGAAATCGGGACAGGGAATCATATTTCATATGCGAGTTTGCTGATAGTTAATCGGGTATAAGTTTAATTGATGTAACAAGTGAGAAAATATAGTAATGATTCTAGTGGCAGGCCGCTCACTGAGAGCTTGTATGGAGATGCCCTTGGAGGCTCTGTGTGTGTGTGTGTGTGTGTGTGTGTGTGTGTGTGTGTGTGTGTGTGTGTGTGTGTGTGTGAGAGTGAGTGAGTGAGTGAGTGAGTGAGTGAGTGAGTGAGTGAGAGGAGGAGGGGAGGTGGGGAGTGAGTGCAACACTGAGGAGCCACTCATCTAAAAGAATGTCTGACTTTAACACGTCTGATTCAATAAAAGACATTATACTGAGTGTGTTAACAAGGTACCAGTCTTTGCTTATGCTTAAATGATTCATAGGTTAGCATTAAGTAGCTTGACAAAAAGCATTCTTCTGAAAATATTCAGGTACAAGGACTGGATTGAGGATTGACAATGATGGGGGCGGGAAACAAAAACAGCCAGTGTCCAGAGAAAGAACTTCAGAAAGCCTGGAGAACTATTGACTGAGACCACTAAATACAAATAAAAAAACACTACAAATATATTTTTGAAATGACACGTCAGCTAAGAAAGCCGACTTTCTGATGCATAGCTTTGACATTTGTTCCTTTTTTCCTGGAACATTGAAAAGCAGTACTAAAGTCTGTCATTTTCTGCTGTTTGTCTCTAAATCTGCTCTTTGAACAATACAATAAAATAACAAAAATAACATGCTGGTTTAGAAAGTTGATTGTATTCCTGTGCACCTTGTTAGTGTGAAAAAAAATGGCAAATAAGCACAACATAAGTATAGCTGATGGGCATGATTAATTAGGCAAACGGTTAGTCATAAAACAGAGTTTTGGACAAAGGGAAATTTTGATTGAGACACTAAAAGAACAAGTCAAATTTGATAAATGTAAGGGATCCTTTACAAAAAAAAGTCCTACAGCACTCTTACAATAAGTGTTTGTAAAAGAACATCTCATTTTTGGCCAGGATATCAGCGAGTCAGTCTGGCAGACAGAAAGGTGCTTACGTGCATTACTGACGTCAAGAGGATGAAGCTTACTCAGCAAAGTCACCTTGCATGGGTTCATGATTTTGCCAGAATTCTCTGATAAACAAATTTACCTAAGACTGTGTTGGATGAACTGCTTTTATTTTTTGTTTTACTTTTTTTGTTGTTGTTGTTTCATAATACTGACCTACATGTGTGCACCAACACCCATATAACATCGAGTTGAAACTGTTAGATACTACATTACTCAAACAAAATTGCTGGAACACATTGAAAACACATCAGATTTTATCAACTTTTCTTCTAAAGATGCTGTCTGCTAGCCGAAATTGAACCTCCCCCACCCTCATTCAAATCTGGCGTTTGGAAGTATTTTGGTTTTCATGTGAAGTATGACCCTGAAGGTAAGCCTGTCATGGACAAAAGTAAAACAGTATGTCGGATGTACCACGCAGTGCTCAATTACATGGGTGGGAACTAGTGCGTTAGCGCAGTTTGCTCGTTAATGTGTTGATTCTCCTCATGGGGACCTGATATGTTTAATATGCTGCTGAGAATATAGCCCAGAAGAAGCGTATAGTATAGCTTTTATTTTGGAAAGAGCCATTTCTCTGTAATAAACTCTTTTCCAAAGATGAGTGATTCCTCGAGCAGATAGATTTTTTTTTTTATTATTATTTTGTTGTTTCAGCAACATTACATTTAAAAACTGTACTTTTGAGTTAAAATATATATTTATAATTTTAATAAATGACAAATTAAAAAGGCATGAACATTTTTTTGTATCAAAAAAATATCAAACCGGACTGTGAATTTTGTGCAGCGTTGCACCCCTACTATACAGGGCTGAAATCAAAGAAATCCTTAAAATCAAATGGAAAAAATGATTAAAATTGATTGGAGCAACTCAAAATGGTAATCAGTAGTTTCTATGGCCCCCACGTGCTTGTATGAATACCTGACATTGTTGGGGCATGCTCCTAATGAGAAGACCGTGTCCTGGGGAATCTCTTCCCAGATGTGGGCCAGGCCATCACTGAGGTCCTGGACAGTCTTGAGTCTCCACAACTTCTCCAGATCCTTTCACATAGTCGCATGTGCTCAGGGTGAACCTGCTTTTAACTAAGAAAAGCACAGGGTGCCAGTGGTGGACCTGCCAATTTTGGTATTCTATGTCAAATGTCAATCGGGCTTAATGGTGCTGGGAAGTGAGCACAGGGATCCGCTAAATGATGTCAGGCCCTCAGGCCACCCTCAGTCTGTTTCTGATTGTTTGGTCAGAGACATTCACACCAGTGACCTGCTGGAACTCATTTTGTAGCTCTGGTAGTGTTCATCCTTCTTCTACAAAGAAGCAAACACCAGTCCTGCTAATGGGTTCAGGCCCTTCAACAGGGCCTTGACAGGCTCTCTGCCCGTCTCCTGGAATCTCCTCCATGCTCGAGAGACTGTGCTGGGAGACGCAGCAAACCTGGTATCCTGGAAGACTTGAACTACCTGTGTAATGTCTGTAGAATCCAGGTATCACCTCATGCTATTAGAGGCTCTGACCCTGGCTAAATGCAAAACTAGTGAGAAAGATTGTCTCAACGTTGCTTCTCTTCTGCACCTGTTGTTAATTTCATTACCACCCAAGCAGCTGAAACTGATTAACAACCCTCTGCTACTTAACTGACCAGATCAAGATCCCAGAAGTTTAACTGACTTGATGCTATACTCTTAATTAAAAGTGCTCCTTTGAGTTTTTCCACTAGTGTGTAAACTGCTCAGAATATTACTACATCTTCTAAAATAAAAATTCCTCTAGCAAAGTTGGTTACTGGTGCACAGACAGGCTAGCCATATTTGTGATTACAGATAGCAAATTAAAATCTATATATTTGCCTTATTTTAATGAGCAGTGCAGCATGGACGAACACTGCACCTATAATTAGATGCTATTTAAAAAAAAAACAGCATATGCGTCTCTGTGCGAAATGCTCCTTAAGGATTCAGTGTCCTTCTCAGCTCATTTCTACCCCTACTGCACCTCATTCTGCAGTGAAGTGTGGCTTGTAGCTATGAGAAACCAGCAGAAATGAGATACAGACACAAGTCTGCATATCAGCACTTCGAACAGCACAATGCCTTTAGAAAACTCTCTCCTCAGCCTCCTTGGGACACTGCTGAAAACTCCACTATGAACTATTCAGCCTGGGAACAGTGAAATAGAAACCTTTCAGCATGTTAGAGCGTATGCACATCCTCAGGAGTTCAGGCCCAGAAAGCTCGTCTTAGCATTGTAAAAACTGACAGCAACCAATTCTCTGAAATGTCATTTCTCAGTTTCACGTTTCTGTGATAATGGAAATAAGAACCAGTAGCTTCCCAGTGGGTGAACCCTCAAATGTGTTCACTGTGAGTGGGTACGTCTGCCAACAGATGTCTGAATACCTGAAACCGACAGCAGTCCTCTGGCTACCCAAAGGGACCAATCATTTTCAGCAGCCTGTCAGCCTATTATGCTGAATATTCCTCCCCGCCTGGTAAAAAAAACAAACTGTATGCACCAGACGCAGGTGTAAATCCTAACACATGCTCTGAGAAATGTGTCTTTGATGCTGTAACTGTAACATAAATAAGGATCAAAAGTTGGATGATTCACTTTTTTTATCCCAGCAGATTACGTAATCTTTTTTATTTTATTTTATAAATGGATAAATGTATTTTATAACCTTGGGAATCCAGCAGCACACCAAGAAAACACTAATCATTAGCTGAAAAAAAAATTATTTAATGTAATTATTGTGCAATTAAACAGGTATAAATGTACTTAAAGTACCTGTAAACATTAGTACCCTTATAAAGATTTTCTGGTTAACCACATGACTCTGAGATGACAATTAAGCAGTAATTATTCCTTCAGTTGCAAATGTCTCATCTAATTAATTCTGATTTGTCATCTGTACCACGTGTCAGTGTAGTGCAGGGGTCCTCGGTTACAGTTTGCTCTGAGCACCTTGTAGTCTCCACACCCTCCTGATTTCTTTTTCTGTACTGTCCAGCTCCCTGAATACATTAACATCCTTTGTCTGCTCAAAGTGCTGCAACAATCTCTGGAAAACAGTCACTGGGACGCTGAAGTTCAGATGTGGGTAAGTCACTTTAGTGGCCATGTCTCGCGTGTTGCTGGAAACGATCCCTGCAACACAACAAAGAAACATTTTTTTGTGAATTCAAAGCCACAGCAGTGCTGACTGAACCACTGATATAAGCACAGCTGACTTTTCCCTGCACAGAGACGTTTTCTGTGGTTATCATGTGCCCCCCTCTGTTCAAAAGGTGCACATGGCTTTCTTCCTGCAGGACCTCCTTACCCAGCAGCTCTCCTGAGCATCTCTGCACCACAGCACCCCCGCTGGTTCCCGCTTGTACTGCACATGTGGTCTGGAGCATGACAGGCTGGCAATTCCAGCTAATGGCTTTGGATAGGACGCCGCAGGTCAGGGACGGACCGCAGCTCCAACCCAGCCCACCGTATCCGACGACAACTACAGATTCACCTGAAGTTAGAAAAGGCCATAACGGTTTTTAAGCGTAAAGAAGCAGAAACTCTCTTCTGGAACTGCTTATAAGAAAATAACAATAATTCTACTGTTTCTGCTGCACAAGACTGAAATCAAACCTGGAATGAAACTCTGACACATCCGTGAGACCACAGCTTCTGGGACAGCATCTCTGAGCTGCACCAAAGCGAGGTCATAGGGTGAAGATGCTTTAGTGGAAAAAAGGACATCACCCACTGAATCATGGACTCTGAGAAAAGAAAATCGCCAAAAAAGTGAGGATTATTAGTCTTACACATTCTGTGATCACAAAACATACTTCCAAAATGTGGTGAAGTTGCTAAATAAACAGGAAAAGACCATAATCCCATATGGTGTAGATCCATACAGAAAGCTTTGTCTTTGATGCAGCAAGTCCATGTCAGCTTATAGGACTGTCCATACATTCAGAAGTTTATTACTGCCTATAAATTGCACTCATTTTTTTCCAGGCTGGAATAATAGTACCGAATACATCTTTAATGGTGTTAAAAATCAAGAATTTGATGCACAAGTTTGAATATATTTTTGATTTTCTCTCATCCAAACCAGGTCAATCTGCAGGCAAGTTCCTAGTACTTGTTTATGCTTGTTTTTTTTTCTACCCAAAACTGTGTTAGGTTTGAAAAGAAGACTAAGATTAGCGGATTAACACATTTTAGTGTTTAATAAGGTTTGAATTAATTTCTGCTTCAATTAGGAGGGGGTTTAAGATAGTAAATGTGCCATCACCTGTCCCTATGGTGGAACTTCAAGCGGACTTTAGACTTCCTGTTGACAACATGCCTGCACGACACAACCAGTCGAGAGCCGACAACAACCCCTGAACCCCAGAACTGCCCGCTGTCCACAAAGCAAACAGTGGGGTATTTAACAGCTTTTGACTCGTGAGCAGCGGTGGACATCTGGATGTCCAACTCTCCTGGATGAAGCCAAACATTTCTGAGGGGATCCTGGACACTCAGGCAGCTGATGAGATTCCTGAAGACCAACTGGGCAGAGCAGACCAGAGTGAGGCCAATCCACTCATTGGCCTTCCAGCCAAATGGAGACACAATCAGCCCGATGAGATGCACGCTGCCTGCACCTTTCACCACAAACAACCCTCCACCTTCTGTGCCTGGCAGGCAGCGGGCGTCTGTGAGGATGACAGCGTTATCTTCTCCAGCAAGGTTACTGATGATGCCTCTGCTGAGGGTGCTGATGAAGAGATCCAAGCAGAGGGAGCCAAAAGGTGAGCCGCAGGCAACAACAGGGCAGCCCTTCTGGAGAGGCGCACTGCTCTGCCAGGGGATGGTGCCTGAATCCTGGCTGCTGTCTAGCACCACACCTACCCTGAGTACAGCAAACCAGCTGAGGAAGTGAAAATCTCTGAGCAGCTCCTCATCCTCATCACAATGGAAACGCCACTGGTCGGCCTCCTGGAAAACTGCCTGGAAAGCGTGTTTAAACTCCACGCAGTTCACCAGCATCAGCAGCTCGGCTGCAGCCTCCCTCTGCCCTGCTGCTGTTTTGCTTCTAGTGGGTGTGATTGTTGCTCTCCGTGCGCTCTGCTTGGTGTCAGTTGGAAAGGTGACGCAGATTTGAAGTTTGGCACTGAAGCTGTGAGGTGGCAAGAAGTCGTGGTCCCAGTAGAGGGGGTCTCCGTCGATGATAAAACGTGAAAACGGGAGTCCGGTGCATATGATGATTCCTGTGCGAGGGTGGACAACAACTCCGCTGCAGCTCACCGGTTTCTTTGCCGAAGACGCCTCTGACACCTTGACAACACAGCAGCGCCTCTCCACGTCCTTTAACTCCATGCTCTAGCAAAGCAAATCAACAAATGTTTTAACGGCGTTTAAAACACTCGAAAAAGCAGCTCATTTAAAATGTGTACATGCCAGGAGTGAGAAGGAACCTTCAGATAAGTCACTGTGACCTTAAGTTTAAACTATTTATGGAAAATATTTCCCACAGTGTCTTCTAACTTCTTCGCCCTGTTCGTAACTTCCTGGTTCTGCTTCGTTCCTGCACCTGATTGGTCTGAAAGCAAACACCTTCTAGCCAATGGTAAACAAGGAAACTAGAGGGCGTTCCTATATCCCGATTAGAAGTTTATTTACGTTTTACGATGTTTTATGTGTGGTTTTTATGTATAATATCTTTGCTGTTATCAGCATATAGGCTGAAGTCAACTGCATTTGATATGGAGTTTTATATAAAATAAATAAAAAACTTTTTTGCCCGTTTATGACTCTGTGTTCTACTGTGTAATCAATACAGTCCTTTTTGGGTCACTTAAAATATCCTTTCTATTCTATCACACTTGGAAAAGACATAAAGACATTTTTAATCGGACTGACCTGATTTGTTTTGTTTTTGTTTGTTTTGTGTGTGTGTGTGTGTGGGGGGGGGGTCTTTACCTGGAAATCAAAGGTGAAAGGTGAGGCATTTTTCTCCTCAGGTACTTTTGCAGCCCAAAAGTTTTCATTTAGGATCATTGGTGATTCTAAGTTGACCGATGTGAATGTGATGAGTCGTCTGTCTGTGTTAGCCCTTAATGCTCTAGAACTGGATTTAATAAAAACAGACAGAATGAAGCTTGGTGAGAGCAGCCATCATCACGGGGCAGACGACCATCAGAGTATGAGTGTGAGAGACACTGAGACATGCTAAAATCTAGTTGCAGAAAGGCATTATACAATAAAATAATGTGAATAATACATAAATTTAAGAAATTCTTCCACAATATCATAAGGTTCGGATTTTAGATTTTTAACTGTATTTTTATAGGTTTTACAGCTGTCCCCACTAATAAAGACCTCTTTATTACCAAAGTAATAGAAAAACAATTAACTAACAGAAACCTTGAAGTTCCACCACAGGAACCTTCCATAATTATACAGTATTACGTGTGTAGTTCTTTACACTGACAGAAAGGAGCCTTTCACTGGTCCACCCCACTAAAGCTCAATAAGTTTGACATTCCTGTTCAAGGAGGACTAATAAGTGTTGTGAATGTGAATGGATCAATAGATAGATGGATGTTCCTTTGGTGGATGAACCAAAAATGAATTAAAATATCTTAAACAAGGTTTAAAGAGTTACCAAATATATTTATTTTGCTAAAATATTGCACAACACACCCAACAAGAACATGACATCTTTTTTGTATGAGATATATCAAGCATTAAGAATGCGAAGTAACAGACAGGCCAGTTATTTATTGCAAAATATAAATACACTCTTATAAAATATTTTATAATGTTTTAAGATAATTTTATCCAAAAATACTGTATAAGCTTTTTTTGCTAATCACCACCCAAGTACTCTCATAAATCACTGCGTACTGTTAGCAGCAACCAATCACAAAGTACTCAAGTCTTTTCAGTGCAGTCACCTATCGGTGTGTTTGGCTGGCGTAAATATCTAGTATAGGCAAAAAGTCAGTCAGTGCACTTGTGGTAACATTAATGTTAGTGGCCGTGTTTGTAAACCTAAATGTAAACCTTAAAATAAACATACTATCACAAGAACTGTCAGCATCCTCCGAGGTAGGCTTGCAAGTTGAGTTTAACAATTACAGCAACACATTTTTGCAGCACTTTCTAGGAAAAAAAAAAAAAGTTGTTTTTGAAAACGATCAATTGAAAGAAAAAAAATAAAACAGAATAAATAATGTGCATACGTGCCAACAAAAATGTTTCATCCTCTATCAAAGAAGAGCTGCTCTAAGCACACAGTGTTAACTACACTGACCTTCACTGTAAGCCAACACCAGCAGCCAAAAATACACCCGGGTCTGAAACAAGTTCACAGCCATGGCATGTCCTACACGGCAGAAACAATTCCCTACAGGCTTTAGGTAAAGGTAGAAGAACCACAGCATGGAGCTTTTCTCCACACTCAGTCTGAATAATACAGGCCAATGATTCATAACTTATCTTTGACTTGCTGCGGTACGACTGAGATAAAATACAGAATTCTTCAAACAGATGAATAATGCTGGGCTTTTAAATACAAAACATATTTTGTACTAGCATATTTAATAAAATCTCTCTACTGCAGGTAGTTTTGTGTGGAACAAATCTGGTTAAGGCTATTATAAAAATGTCAATCAATCGATATACTGGGCAAGCCAGCGAAAACCGTCTCCATATCCCTGTCGCTTCAGCACACTGCACATGAACACCTCCATTGGCCTCAAATTCAGCTCCTTCAGCGGCACTTTGCCCTGAAAAGAAACAAAAATACACATCAAAAAGAACAGCTTTAAATCTACAACTCCATCCAGCAACCTTGCCCATGAACACTGAACAAATACAACGCACATCTTAAACTTTAACCGTGCTTTAAGCTCTATTAGAAAAGGTTTTCCCTGACTCGTCAGCATGGATCAATAAACCGACGCTTAGGTCTTGAACCAGAAATGATGTCTCAGATTTATACAAAAAATTTAACTGCAGTAAAATATCGTTGTGGGGCAGCGGTTTCCTTAAGTCTTTTCTTCTTAGGGTCGATTTGGGCTTGTTGCACAGACAACTAAAAAGAATGCACATACACTAACCAGCCAATTTGTTAGGTATCCCTGAACTGCTCAGTAATCCAAATATCTATATATTTATAATGTGATCACCACTCAATGCATACACTGAGACTCAGCAGGTCATCACCAGATTTTATATTGTTGGCTGGCTGACTGCTGAGTCCACCCATCTGTGATCTGGCTCCTGAAAAGTAAGTGGGTAGCCACTGTGACCACAGTATACCCAGCTTCTGACGGCAGCTTCCAGCAGGATAACACACCATGTCAAATAGCTCGGTCCTATTTATTGAAGTCTTAAAAGCCTAGTAAGAAGACTGTCTCTAAGTACTGTTGCTATGATTGTTTTAGTCTTTCCAACACAGTAACATGTACAAACAGTAAGAAATTGATATAGGCATTGTGACATCGCCTTTTATTTTCTTTTAAGTGCTGTTTTGAAGCCTTCAGTTAGACATTCTGGCTGCCACATCTTGATTATTATTTTTATTTTTTTTAAACTGGATGTAACAAGCAAAAGTTAGATTTGACTGCGAAACACTAAGCTGCTACTAGAGCGTAGCCAGCTTTATCTTGTATTTTATTCTATTCCAAAAGGGACCATACTTTACAAAAGAACATCATGTTCTATTCAGTAAGTTATGAAATGAGAACACAGACTGTAAAGACACCAGGAAAGTATTTAGTGAGGTCAAAGATCAAGTGAGCAGCACTTTCTAATATATGTCTATACAATCTGACTGCTTTTTCCCCACCAGAGGTGTCGCCTCCTGCTGGCCATTAAAAAGAATGCAGATTTGAAGTACTTTGAACAGGTTTCACTTTTCCAGAGGCTACGTTAACCTTTTAAATACAGTTTATGGTTTAGAAAATATCAACACCATATGACTCTAATGCTCTTGCCAGACGTCACATCATCATTTAATCCCACATTTCTTGTACAAACCTTTCCAGTTGTATGCCCCTGAAGACCAAGTACTGCCCTGAGTGCATCCTCACTGATGGCCTCTGGACGGTCTATCTTATTGCCCAGGATTAGAATGGGGATGTTTGCAATGGTTTCATCTGTTAACATGGCCTACACAAAAGAAGTGTCATATCAGACATATCATACAGATCATTCCTATCAGTGGCAGCTATGGGCAGCTGTCTGTGTTGACATCAGTACAAATAACTCACATCCAGTTCAACTTTTGCTTCTGCTAGTCGCATATGGTCAGCACAATCCACCATGTACACGATACCGTTTATGGCTGGGAAGTAGTTCTTCCAGATCCTTCGTGCTGTAAAGACACACATTTTCAGTATTTTTATGCAACACCTCAACAAATACATCAATAATATTTTAAAAAGCTCAAAAATAAGATTGAGAATCACTTTTTTTTTTACTCCCACCTTGCGTATGACCTCCAAGGTCAAATGTCGTAAAAGTCATTCCAGCTATTGTCAGCTCCTCGGATGCTGGGGAAGAGAGGTTTGATTTTAGGATAAGCAGTGAAGCAAGACACACATGGCTAATTCCTGATGTGACAAGTAAAAATCTACTTGGGTATAGCGTCGGCATGTGCTGTCCCAGCCTGTCATCCCTGAGCATCTGCAGGAGCGTTGTTTTTCCAGCATTGTCTAGTCCAAGAAAAACCATCTTCCCAGTCTTCTTGTACAACCCTGATAGCAGAAAGAAGTCAAATTGATGGGTTTAAAAGAAGTCTTGGGCAGGAGAACTGGGAGCCAGAATAGAACTGGCTGGTATATGTTTTATAGAAATAGAGCGAATGCCAAAAACAAAGTGAAAATCTGGATATTTGTTAGTATTCAGGCTCGAATTTACTTCAAACTGTCTAGTTACTACCTCCAAGTTACCATTTTGTAAAACAACAATATCGGTGCTTTATATCCTCTCAAGGATATTTGAGGGTGCGTGTGTGGGACCAAACTAGTTTACATAGACTTTAGACTGGACTTGGAGACTTGAGACTTGGTATTTAGCTGCTTCTCTCTGGGTTTCCTGTGGTGGGGGCACAGGAGGACTGGGTCCTTGTTGTTACAGGGTCTTCGTATGATGGTTTCCATTGCCAGCTATATGCAGATACTGGACTCCACTAGGGCTGCCCTTTCTTATCAGGTATGTTAATGATTTTTATGGACTTATTTTTATGGGATATCTAGCCAAGGGGTGGAGGGTTTGGTGGTCTCAGGATCTCATCTGAACATAGAGCCATGACCTCCACCTTACTCTGAAGCGGTTTGCAGATGAGTGTGAAGCAGCTGGGACGACACTCAGCTCGAGACTCGGCAGAAATTGGCTTCCTCCGAAAGGTGTCTCAGAGTAGAGCTGCTACACCGCCATATTGAAAAAGGACATTTGGGGTGGTTCAGAAATCTGACCTGAATGTCTCCCAGGTGCGTCCTAGGTGAGGTGTTCAGGGTATGTTCTATCAGGAAACCCAGGGGCAGACCCAGGTTACGCTAAAGAGATTACATT